GCTTTTTAGTAGCTTGTGGTACTAGTAGGAATGGGAGGGTGGTTGGACTAGATGATCTTGCAGATCGTTTCCAACCTTGCGATTCTGTGTGATTCTTGACATCAGGCTTTTCTCTCCATTAATGCATTTTATATGAAATGAGGAAAAATTTTGACTTGTTAATTTGCACTTCCAATAGTGTTCTTAAATTCTGAACACCTCTAAGGAACCCTCCTGAAGAATGTGCCTCAGTGATGAGGAGCCCATGTTTCCTGGGACTAACCAGCTGCCTTGAGGGAAGAGCTAGTGGGAGAGGCATAGGAGAGAGCCCATAGCTGGAGGAAACAGTGCTGCTCCACACTGACTGCTGATGTTCTTGAAGTCCTGTGTCTATCCCCCGGGGCTGTGGACTATTCGTGTGATATTTTAAAGTGATTTTCATTCATGCTGGGGTTAATGGAGTGTGCTAAAGCAAGTTCTTAATTATCTGCTCTGCAAGATTTTGATGCTTTACCCTTAAATGAACAATAATGTATTTCACACTGTAAATCCTCAGTATCATCAGAAGTGAATTTACATCTCCAGTGTTTTTCTTTGGGATTTTGCATCCAAAGGCATCCATGAACTGAACAAGCTTATCTCTATTTTTTTTCCATCCTCAAATATCTAACATGTTACAGCCAGAAATTTTTCAGCTGAAAGACATTATACTCATTTCAACAGCATTCTTTACATAGATTCATAGAACAAGCTTTGTAGATTTAGAGGATTTTTAAGGATGGTGATTGCACCATCCATGATTCCTTTCAAGGGAAGTCAGCAGTTTTCTGTTCTTCAATTGAATATCAAATGTACTAGCCCCTAGTTTTCCTATTTACAGAAATAAGGTTTAGAGAAAACTCAGTGTTTGGCAACTTGTAGCATATAAGTAGCTTACAGTAGTGAAAACCAGAATGGAAAATACGATGCTTCCAAATCTAAAGATAATTGTGCCACTCTTTTTCTTTGACTGTTCTCATTTTTCATCTACCAAGTTTTACCTTACAGATTTCTTCCACTCTCAGTGACAGAGCTGAGGATTTACTGTTTCTCTTGTAATCCTAATAGCTTATACACTTTTTCAGAAATGCTTTTTTTTTTTTAGTTCTGGGTCAAATATTTTACTGTGCTTTGCACTAGTTCTTTGTAGAACTGGTGGTCTTCTTGGAGACTGAGATCAATAACATTTTTCTACAATAAGTGAAGTTGAATAGGATTATGGAATACACAGTACAGTAGTTCTTCCCTATTTCTTCCTGGTCTATGCCTATCGTTTTCCCAGCAACACCATCACTTCTTTCTGTTCAGTGCTTACACCTGTTAGATGTGATTCATAATGCTACAGTGAAGACGCTCTGAGAAATAAAAACTTGCATATTTTGTACAAAATTTAACGAGTCGTAATTCAGTGCTTCTCCTTCAAACAGATCATTACTATTCTCCTACCATCACGTGATGAAGACAACAGTCAAACATGGCAGTAATCGTTTGCTCTCATATTAAGTTTTTTTATGATTATATTCATAGAGCCACCAGGGTTGGAGAAGGCCTCAAAGATCATCCAGTCCAACTATCCACCTATCACCGCTGTTTCCCACTAAACCATGTTGCTCAATACAACATCTAAACACCTTAAAACTTTCTTAAACACCTCCAAGGAATGCTGACTCTACCACCTCCCTGGGCAGCCATTCCAGCACCTGACCACACTCTCTCAAAAGTATTTCCTAGCATCCAACCTGAATTATCCCTGGCACAATCTGTGACCATTCCCTCTAGTCCTATTGTTACTCACATGAGAGAAGAGGCTGATTCTCATCTCACCCAAGCGTCCCTTCTGATAGTTGTAGAAAGCAATGTCACACCTGAGCCTTCTTTTTTCCAGGTAGAACAATCCCAGATCCCTCAGCAGCTCCTTCCTTGCCTGTCCCTTTTGAAGAGCATGCAGTCATCCATCGCAGCAATCCAGCCGTTGGACCAATCCCACTAAGTTTTCATAACGGCAAGAAAATCATAGTTTGGCTTCTAGATCTTCCTGTTTGTTGCCCATACTGTGTGCATTGTTACAGATGCACTTCAGCTGAGCCACTTGCCTTACCCCCAGTCCCATCATCATTCCTCTAGGCTCAACTCTAGAAGGCCCATCTTTGTTTCCTTCCTGCTTCATATCTAGTTTAAATTCCTTTTAACTAGCCCTGCCAGCTCCTGGGCTAAATTCATTTCCCCCTTTGAGATAGTTGAGAGCCACCCACAGCCATCAGACCAGGTGCCAAGCAAATCGCCCCATGATCAAACAAGCCAAAATACTTGCATTTGCACCAGCCTCTCTGCCATGTATTTATGGGACTGATTTTCCTGCTCCTTTCAGTATCCTTCCTCAGGATCTGACTCTTGGTCTCGAACTTCATCCCATTGTCTGCAGCCCAGCTATCCGGCCTATCCAGATCCCACTGAAGGGTCTGCCTATCCCCAGGAAGATTGATACTTACACTTTGCTGTCATCTACAAATTTACTGAGAGTGTGCTCAGTGCCCTCATGCAGGTCATCAGTGAAGATACTGAACAGTATGGGCCCCAGTACTGACTCCTGGGGAAAAGCAATTGTGACTGGTAACGGTTGGATTTAACTTTGTGGGCCTGGCCCTACAGTCAGTTCTTTATCCAGCAAAGAGTTCACCTGTTCAGGCCATGGGCTGCCAGCTTCTGCAGGAGAATGCTGTGGAGAGACAGTGCCAAAGGTTTTGCCGAAGCCAAGATACACTATGTCAACAGCCTTTTTCTCATCCACGAGATGGGTTTTTTGATCATAGAAGGAGTTCAGTTTGGTAAAGCAGGACCTGCCTTTCATGAACTCATGCTAACTGGGCCTGATCTCTCAGCTGTCCTTCACATGCCGTGTGATCTCCCTCATGATGAACTGTTCCACAACCTTTCCTGCTGCCAAAGTCAGATGACAGGCCTGTAGTTCCCCAGTTCCTCTTTATGACCCTTCTTGTAGATGAGAGTCACATTGACAAGCCTCCAATCCCTGGGACCTCTGTGGTTGACCAGAAACACTGATAGATGATGAAAAGTGACCTGGCAGACAACTCCTCCAGCACCCTCAGCACTCTCTGATAGATAAATTGTAATGACAAATGATTGTTTTGTACATCTGCTGCCATAGCTGTGCAGCTAACTGGCAACCAACAAGCAGTATTAATGAGGCAGAGTAACTGAAGCCTTTGGCATGCATAACCTACCCATGGTTATCCAGGATATTGCTTGTAGTTTTTGATTGTGCTTGGAATTTTGAAGGAATTGAAGAATTTTACATGTTCATTTGCCTTGAGTCATTCTTGTGCATTGAAAGTCCCTCTAACACAAACAGAACAGCCTTTTAATTTTTCTAACTTCATCAAAACTATACTGTGTGGAAACTGATTAGAAATATCATTGCTTTCACTTGAAGTTCTTGCTGATGACACCAGACCTTCACTACATACTGAATTTTCAAAATGCAGCACTTGTATTTCCAATTCTGAACTTTGCATCACTCAGTGATTCTTTGGTATGAAAAGATTTATTAGCAGTTGTTGAGTCTTCAAAGAAATAAAATTATCAGTAGGTAAATTAATTTTCATAACTTCTGTCACTAATGCGTTATTAGTAAGACTTGGCAGAGCTTGCAAGACCATCTGTATTTTGTGCCTATGGCAGAGCTTGCAAGACCATCTGTATTTTGTGCTTATCTTCAGCTTACTGCTTTTCTGTAAAAAAAAAATCATGTCTGGTCCAGTGAGACAGCTCTGCCAAATGTTTGTTGGTTGGTCTTTGGTTGTTTACCTGGTTAGTTGTCTTAACAACCAGTACCATCTCAAAATATTGGTGAAAGCAAAACCTCAAGCATTAAAAATTCATATGTATAGGCTGCTGTGAATCTCAGTGCTGCCTTTTACTATCCAGAAATGCATAACAAGGAATTCAGTGTCAAAATACCCTTTTTCTGGATCTTGCTCCAGGAAAGACATAATACACTCAGAAATAAGCATGTTGTAAGTGCTGTTGGCCTGAGAAATGTTTTACACTGGAGGATTCTGAAAAATGAATTGGCATATAGATCATTTATATATGTATATACATATATATATTAATATTGCATGTAAATTGCGCCTGAATTATGCATGCACAACAATTCAGTTTCCTTCCCCCTCTTCACGCATTTGTAAGCCTTCAGCAGAAAGCTGTTGCTGTTTTTTTTCACAGGAATTTAAGCACTCCTCATAACCATGCGATCAGTTCAGCTCAGCTCAGGATAAGCAAGGTGGCAAATGAGCTGGCAAAACAAGCTAAGTAAATGATCCATGTTTTGTGTCTCCACCTTCAGGTCTCTAAGCAAAAAGAAATCAGATAAATTTGTGTACGCATGTACAATTGTCTGAGGTGGTCATGTGCAGGGTGTTCTGTGCTTTACTTTTATACAGCAGCAGCAGCACTTGAAAAAAAAGCAACTACTAAAAATAAATGTCAGTGAAACCTTGAAATAAAAATCAAATCATAAGGATGCCACTCAATCACTTTGCTATAACCAAGGAAGTGCCTATGTGGAAACTGAAGGATTTCACTGTCTTGTCTTAAACTAGTTTGCACAGCCTGAACCTAGCTGCTTCCATAATGTTCATTTCACATGCAGAATGCTTGTTGGAGGTGCCCAAGCAAACAGTGCTGTTATTATGTTATAATACATGGATTTCCCTTTGCTGCCTGACAAAACAGTCAGACCCACAAGTGTTACTAGCACTTCAGCCTCAAGTTCCACCTTGGAGCTGGTGGGATGGTCCTGAAGTTCCTGCTGGCAGTATTTTTTTAGATTGACAAACTGTAGTGAGTTTCTGAGATTCATTTCACACTTCAGCTGTGCCCCATCCTCTGCTTATGGAAATGAGCTGAGAAATAGCAGACTCTGCACAGAAACAGTGCTTCCTTGTTTGTTCCTACTTGCTGTAGGAGGAAAGTCACCAACTATTCAACTGCTGCTGTCCTTTCAACGGATGCTGTAGCACTCTCACACTTCATCATGTTGACTGTGTATGTCTTGCTTTAGATGCTGGTTTTCCCTTATGAGACTGAAGAGTCGTGGAGACAGCAGCCACTTTCTGTGATACAGAACACAGGCTTCTCTGCAGGTAAGGGAAGCCCTTATACTGACATGTTTTATTCTTACATCTATATATAGTATGTGGTGCACACACTGAAATATTTTATGGATAGTAGATATTAAATAACTTATAAATGTACTTTTTACACACCTTGGGAATTCAACTTGATTTTCCTGCTTTGACAGGACTTGACAAACTTCCAAGTCTTGACAAACATCAGCTAGTACTTTTCCTATTTAGAGTTTCTGTCAATGTGCTTCTCCTTTTATGAACCAGTATCATCTCTTACATATTCATAGTTTTTTTTTTTGGTCAGGCTATCAAGTGTAATAAATCAGTCTGCCACTATCTTTGGCATCTGGAACAGAGTATTTTTCCTAGCCAGAATTTTCTGACTTCTCTGAAGTTATGAAAACAGCTGTCTTCCCTCTAACAATGCTTCGTTTCCTTTATTTGTTGTTCTTCAACATGTTTCTTGGATGTTATTATTCCAGTTACAGAAAAAGTGCATGTGATATAAAAAAAGGTACAGAAACATGCTACTATGTTTATTGTGTTTACTATTTAATCAGAGATTAAAATGCCAAAGATAAGAGGTTTAGCTCTACTTGGTGGTGGTCCAAAGGTTGGTGTTCCAGAGAGTTAGAAAGTAATTATTTATTCCTAGATAATTTTCCTTCAATTATGGATTTTTATGTTTCTATGCAGGTAGCTCTGAAAGTAACACCTCCTATTTATTTCCATGGAAATTGTAACAGATACAAAGAGCAAAATAACACTATTTGATGGAGCAAATTCTCAGCTATAAAACACAGTTTTTCAACAGTCACCATCATTAGCGATGTATTTTTACCATGATGAATAAGAGACTGTGAAAAACTGCATGGCCAGTTGAAATATGTCTTGTCTTCCACATTGCTGTCACCACTGCTGAAATGCATCACCTGCTGACTCTCTGTGCTCTCATCCACTGTTTGGTCTCTGTAAATGTTCAGCAAGCAACAATTAATGTAAATGTATGCCATTTTTTTTCTGCATAGAGAAATTTAATGATATACTTTTTCTTCATCCTTCCATGTCAGATACTGCCCTGTCACAGTGCCCCTCTGCTGTCATCTGTCATATGGAATATTGGTGAGAAGGATCAATCTCCACTGCCATACCACCAACATCCACTTTTGACACTGTGGGCCAATGTAATAAAATAGGAAGCATTACTTTTTGAGCAGCCATGTTGTATGGTAACTGTTGAGTCAAGGCCTGAATCCCTGATTGAGCACCTGGGGAAAGGACAGGGGAAAGCACCTAGGAGCAAAACGTGAAGGCAATTCAGCTGTGTGACTAGAAGGGGTGGAGCCTGGCTGCACCTTTCTTAGACCCCATTTAAAGGGGTCTGCCACGGGGGAAATTTCTTTCTGGAGATTCTTCCTTGTTGGAGTTTTCCCCTGTGAACCTGGGATCTTCTGATGTGGGTGAGCAATCTTCTTTCCTTTCCTTATAGCACCTCTCTACTGCGCTACTCCTTCCATCATCACGCCTTTGTTGTAATGTCTTTCACATTGTACTGATCTGTCCAATTACTACATGTGTACTGCTGTTATCTTTTATTAGTAGACTTTCAAGAATGTATACTTAACATGTTTGATTTAGGACTTTACAAAACACGCTATACATCCTGTATTTCTGGCAGATACTGAATGAACAGCAAGTCGTTTTGACCAAAAATTCAAATTGGGTGCTGCAAATAAAGTGGTTATTTGGAAACAGAATTAGCCATATAAATTTTTTTCACAAGCAGCAATTTTGACAGGCGTGGCTTCTTCTTCAAAGTGAGCTGAAGAAAAATACTATTTTTTTGCCTCTGGGTGAAAACTAGTAAAAAGTTATAAACTTGAATGAAGAGCAGTTTGAAGGAACAAGTATTTTCTAATTATCTCTTGGAATTGTGAACTACTAATTATATGAAATTCTGTCAGCTGAAATTTCTTGACTTTGTCAGAATGGGGGGAATATGGGATGGGAAGGAAATCTTAAGGAACACTGACTTCTCTGTAGCTTTTATGGCTAGTGTTTTAAGTGTTTATCCATCAGGAACCACCTTAAAATGATTATGTAAATATTTTATGTTCATATATAGATATCCCTACTATGTTACTCCATCTATTAATATTTTTAAATACAAAACAGCTCTCCTTTCTACAGAGCAGCGCAGTAAACAGATTCCAGTTTCCACAGGTTTGTATTTTTCAAATATGTAATGAATTTTCATTTTAATTTCAGATGAGAAGAGGATGTAAGATGTTGCTAGTTGTTTTCAGAAAATCATCTTCTAAAAAAACTTTCAATTTTTTTTGTTCACTTCCTAATTTCCTATTATTGTGTCATGGAGTTGACCAGATCAATCTATGTCCGTGACAGGGGCGACAGGCCTTTGCCCTCCCCCCCCACCCCAGTCCCACAAAAATGGGAAGGAAGGAAGGGAGGAAAAGAGCAGCGGCAGCAATCTATGGAGGAAAACTTATTTTACTATAATATCGGAATACAAAATAACACAATATATACAATTTAGTTGAAATTGAGATTAATAAATCAGACAAGATGAGAGAGAGAGAGTTCCCGGGACCGAGTCAAACCTGGAAAGCTTGGAACGGCTAGGAAAGCACCTCCAGCACCCACTGCCAGGCAGCAAGAGAGCGCCCCCCCACCCGGAAGGGCCAGATCTGTGACTGCTGTAATGTACAGGGATAGGTACTGGGAATTGGGGCAATGACATTTTAATACTTCATACACTACATGATTTTTTGATGTGGAATACTGAAACTATTAAAAAAAAAAAAACAAAAACAAAAACATAGAACCATGAATATTGTTCGTGTTATACTGAGAAGGTGACTACTGGTACAAGCTCTCTGTGCCCACTTTGCACCATGTCTTTCCAGCAACAGAAGGGCAAGTGGCAGGCAAGAAGAATAATGGCTACACGAGAACAGCTTGTTAAGGAACAACAAAGGCAGCCTTAGGCAGAGGAATCCTGGATCTGAAGAACCTCACTGAAAAACCCAAACTAAGATATTTTACAAGGGGAAAGGTGTTTGAAGGGAAAATTAAGGAGTAGAGAATTCTCATTAGAATTCTTCATGTAGATTTCATAAAGTAATCTGGTTTATTCTTCCCCCCCCTTCCCCCCCCCCCAAAAAAAAAAAAAAAAAAGTATTTTAAAAAAGAGGTCTGAACCGTGTCCAGAGATAAGTAGTCTCACACCAATGGCTTGATTTCTAAATTTTAGTAGAGATATTCTGGACTTTGACGTTAAATACATGCAATTTTTATAAGCGGAACAAGAAGCAAAAAGATTTTCAGTCAGAAAGTTAATGTGTCACTAGAAAAATTTGGATGTATCATTTTATTTATTTTCTCAATTTCTTGAAGGCTCTTTTCCTGCCTTGTTGTATTTGCATTACTGGCTCTATTGAGCCCAGGATGTTCTCACATGTTGCTCATTCTCTTTCTGCTTTGATTTCTGTGCCACAAGACTTTCTTTCCTACCCTACTTCTTCACTTATGAAGACTTGCATAAATTTTTTACAGAATTATAACTTCCTTATATAACAGTTACATAAAACTTACGAAGAAATATGAAGCATGTACAGCTTTGTTGGAATGATAAGGTTACAGGGAAGATTAACATTACTGGGTGTTTGATGTAAGGCTTCTAGTTTCCAATACTGAGAAATGTGGGGGAATTCTGATTATCTTATTTGGAAGGCTAAATCTATATTTAAATTTACATTTAAATACATGTATCTAAATTTATACTGCTCATATTACTATTAAATCATGACTTTGTGCTACTGTGGAGGCCAAGTCTGTGGAGTCAAACATTGCTATCACACAGAAGAATGCAGATTCAACACTTGATTTCCACTTACTGTTGTCCCAGGGCCTTCTTCAAGAACATTTTTCTTGTTGACAGGGCTGTATTGCACCAATCTGAATTTGGATATTGGCTACCAATTAGTGTATTTCCAAATCAAGATTCATTGCCAGCTTCAAGCTCTCCATTCCAGTCACAGTAATATGAAAACTGCTCTTACTGCAAGTGGCTATACATTATATCTGCAGAGACAAAAAGAAGTGTGGAGATGCAGGCGTCTAAATGTTTGGTCTTGATAGTTACTGTTCAGAAGGAATCTTTTCCATCTTTTCCAGAGGTTGATGGCTGCTGAGATTGTGAACAAAGATAAAGCTTTATTCTGGTTTTGTGTTTGCCAGAAATACAGAAACCATTTGCACAATGTTATTTCTCTAAATATCTGATCCTTTTGAATTTAAAGAAAATATAGGGAAAACGTAAATGAAAACATAAGAGTTCTGAAGAACTGAGCTATGCAATTCAAGTTTTACCGGGGGGGAGGGGGGGGGAAGGTTCCTTGAAGAATGGTGCAATAAGTATCTTACGAATTCAGAATTAATGAATTATGTCAATGTTATGGCATTCTGTTGAAGCTGAAATGCTTTCATCATTGTTTAATCTCCAGATTATAAATCCTCTTAATCAATAAACAGTGATTCACACCAAAGTAAGTCCCAGCTGGGTTCTTTTTCTTCCAGTTCTTTATATTCTCTCATGTCACAATTTCGATTATTGTTCTGTATTTTCCTGCCAGAAGGCAATACTTTTCTTTAACTGTTGTGCTCCTTCTCAACTATATCATATTACAATGTGCAGAATAATTCATTGTGATTGCATTTTATTATCAGAGATTTTGGGATTTGTTTCTTGTTGCAGAGTAGCAATGTTTTTGTCTTATTCTACCTTTGAATGAGTTTTCTTTTTCACAAATAAATAATTAGGTAAAATAAAGGACTTATTACTTAGGAAAAAGGTGAGATGCAATTTTCTGCACTTTAATGGTTATGTTGTGTCTGTTCAGAATTTTACTTTTTCATTTAAGATATCTTATTTGTAGATGAAGGATTGATGTATTTTATCAAGATGCCTAAAACAGTGGATCACCACTGATAAAATTTTTAAAGGTGTTAAGGTTTCCAGAAGTTTAATAATGATCCAGTGCGTACTTAGGACTCTGACAGTAAATATGTGTTGTTTAAGTTTCCAAGCAGTATGTTTTAAAGGGAAATATGTTTCATGATAAGCAGTAAAGCTTAATCTGATGTTCTGTGCCTGGAGTGCTTGGCAATTATCAACCTTCTTGCTTGTAATGACTTTTCTTTCTGGTAAGTGACTTGAGCAACTAGATCTGTCAGTGTAAACAGAAGATCTTGCTGTGTATTGAAATATCTATGTGGCTTTATCTCTAAACATGCTTTAGTCTGCAAGACTAGACATGAAACACTGTAATTTACATCTAATTGTAACCCTTGACCTCTCATAGCATCACAGGCTCTTTGAGGTAAGTGGGAGCTTTCCTTCTAATAGTAGGTATACATCAAAGAGTAAAGAAGTTTGGCAGGAAATGCATTTCCTTGCATTCCAGCTTGTTCCCAGACATTAGAGGCCCTTCTGAGATTGAGTGATGCCTATTTTATTTCTATAAGTCTGGTTGCTTTTGAATGAGCTGATGCAGCCACCCTCATGGAGTTTGGTTATGCTCAATGAGAACTCTCATTAACTGACTTATGAACAGTGCTTTTCACTGAAGCAGTAGGTTACAGACTATCTTGGATTGCCACTGATAGATGTACTGTCTTCAGAGAACGTGTGCGTACCAAGTATGAGTAATACAGCCTATGGAAAATGCATTAAAGCATGGAGTAACTCTGTGCAGATGTCTAAGTTTCTCAGGGAAGCACTTGGTATGGCCAAATCTGCAACTATCACTCAATAGGTGTCACTGTGCAGGGAAGGGAAACTTATCTCATTGACTGGTCCCAGAAGTTTATGATGTCCTCCTGACTTTTGTATATTATCTTCCCCAGAGTTCCTCTCCTTCCAGGTTCACCCTCTAGAAGTCCAAGGTAGCAGCTTTGCTGGCCCCCCTCCTGACTTCACCAAGAATTGAAGCTCTCTCATTTCATAGTCATTCTGTCCAAGATTGTTCCCACATCCACATTTTCCACGAATCTTTCTCTGTTTCTGAACAGCAGGTCTAGTGGATTACTTTCCCAGGTAGGATCTCTTTCCAACTGTGTCAGGAAATTTTCCATACACTCTAGAAAACTTTTAGATTGCTTCTTCTACACTGTTATTGTATTTCCAGCATGTATCACGAAAATTGAAGTCTCCAGTGAGAACAAAGGCTGGTGATTCCAAAACTTCTGCCAGCTACTTCTAGATGCCTGATTCATCTCTTCATCATATAACAGAGCCTCACAGGGATGTCTTCCTGCATGGCACTCCCCCGATCCTTACCCATAGAGATTCAACTTTATCGTTCCCAGCCTCGACTTCTAATGCTGGAACACTCTCTAGCACAGTGATCCATGCCACTGCCTCTCTTTCTTTGCCTATCCCTTCTGAAGAGTTTATAGCTGTGCATTGCAGCATTCCACTCATGGGAGTGACCCCACAATTTTTCAGTAACAGCAAGTAAGTCATAGTTTCCTGCTGCATAATGGCTTCCATCTCCTCCTGTTTGTTGCCCAAGCTGTGTGCACTGGTATAGATGCATTTCAGATGAGCCATTTGCCTCACTTCCTAAACCAGCATTATTCCTCCAGGCTTATCTCTACTGAGCCTTGTCTTCTTGCCTTCCCCCTTTGTACCAATTTAAAGCCCCCTCAATGAGCTCTGCCAGCTCCTGGGCTAGGATATGTTTCCTTCTTTGATACAAGTGAGATCCATCAGCAGATATCAGGCCAGAGGCCGAGTAAAGCACCCCACAGTCAAAAAAGACAAAATTGCTGTGATGGCAGCAGACTCTTAATCATGTATTTATGAGATGAGTTCTGGTCCTCTCAGTATCCCCTGCTCACACTGAAGGAATGATGGAAAACACCACCTGTGCTCCCCTTGATTAACTATTCCAATTCCCTGAAAACCCTTATTGTAGTCCTCAGACTTCACTCAGTGACTTCATTGCTGCTAGCCTGAACTATCAGTAAAGGTAATAAGTGGGTTGAATCAGGTGAAGTTCTAAAAAAACAGGAAGTCTTTTAGTAATGTCCCTAATCCAGGCTCTAGGGAGACAGCACACTTCCCTATGGGTAAGGGACATAGGATCCTCCGTTCTTCTCAGAAGAGAGTGGTCTATAACCATTACTCTTCTTTCTTGC